TCCTCTCAGCTCCCGCCAAAGGTCCAACACCTTGACTTGGCCCCAGCGGCTCGCCATCTTGCAAACGCCATCCTGGTGGTCCACTGGAATCCCACTCTCTTCCCACCAGCGCATCACCGCCGTCTGCCCCCACTGTGCTGCCGCCAGCAGCGACCTCCCAGGTTTAGGAGCGATGTTTTGGTCTTGAATAAAAGCTTCCCGCCACCATTCCAACACATGTATGTGGCCCTTGGAGCTCGCGCTCTCAAATGCGGCCTCACTATACTTAAGAGGGAGGCCGGAGCGACGCCACCACTCAAGGACATGGATGAACCCACGACCTGAGGCACCGTTGAGCGCCTCAGTGTCGTACTGCTTTTCTAGAAAGGAGGGTGATTTGGCCCACCAGTCGAGGATATCGGTGCGGCCATAATAGGCCGACGCTTTGGTTGGGATCGTCTTGCCGTCGAAGCAGCGGAAGATATGTGGGAGGTTGGCTTCGATGTAGGCGAGAACGCCCGTGAGGGAGAATTTGAAGATGAGGTGGACGGCCAAGGCCGACAGATCGTGGAAGGCGGGCGGTGCCTCAGACAGCTTTTTGCAAATGGCCTCGTTGTTAGCCGTAAGAAGGGTCCACTCGAGCTCGTGCATGAAGACTTGCAGTGAGTCGTGGGGGTCTCGAGGCTCCAAGCGCCAGTTGGCTGGCATGTCGAGAGTGGTAAAGACGCCAAGTGAATTTGCCAGCTCCCAGTCGTTGGTATGCTCTAGGATGATGCTCCAGATCTCCGGGGGCAACGTTGAACGTGCTCTCCTTCCCGACCCGATGGCTGGAGACCCTTGCTGAATGGCAACCTCTACATTGTGTCCTAGTTTGAGCAGATCTGCCTGGTTCTTGATGATACCGACAACCTCGTTGAAACTATCCCAATCGACCTTGCGCTTTGGGGTGGCGCTCTCCTCGTACCTCCACAGAATCGGGGGCATGACTCTGATCCAACCCCATTTCCGATGCAGTTTACTCATCTGGCGCTTTGTCACCGGGTTCTCCCACATGTGGCTTGTCATGCCCGGAATCAGCAGTATCCTTTTCGATGCGTCCCACGACCTGAGCACCTCGAGGAGCAGTGTGTCGGAGACGCCGCACATCATCTTGGCGAGACTGTCGGCATCAATGGGGGCGAGCACAAGCAGGTCTGCCCACTCGACTAGATCGAATGCCTGTTGTTGGCACGCCTCAACGTCGCGGGAACTTGTGCCGTCGACCACGCCCCTCTTCAAACTCCTGTTTTGGTGGACGATGATCTCCTGGGCCAGCCGGTGGGTCATCTCATCGACGATAGCGCGCGTGGTAATCTGCGATTCTTTGGAAAGCCGCACGGCAATGGCCTCGGCGAATGCGACATCCCTGGGGCCATTCGCAGCGACAAGGAGCCGCAGTTTCCGAGGTCGTTGCATCTCGCTCAGGGAGGGGCTCGACGAGACTCTGTTGATGGCTACATGGTTTCCGATGCACGACAAGGGCCCTATATGGGCCATGGCGGGCGACGGGTGACTTGTAGCTGTGGATGGGGAAAAAAACGGCTGGAGGAGGTGGTGAGGCGGACTTGGTTCTGGAAATATTCCATGCCACTCTGTGACGGCCATTCGACGTTGGGTTGACCCTATGATCATATCGATAAGCCGATAACCAATCATGGCCTTGGTATCGCCCCCTTGCTCTGCACCCTCACGGCAAGTGGGGTACTTCGGGGAAGCTACCCGCCAAAACCCACCACATCCCAGGCACGCAGTGGTTGTGCGAACAACGTCAACAGAAGAACGAGCCAAGACGTGGAACATTGTTGTCCTGGCCGTCAACATCCCAAACAGCTTCAGGTGTAGCCATACGGTCACATGAGCTATGACACGACCCTGAATGACATCGTCACTCAGGTTTCAAAACCCAATCGGATCCGATAAAATGGCAAAAAAAAAAAATGACAGCTCCTGCCGGGAGCCGTCCCGGCGCAGAAGCACAAGACATGAAGCCGGGACCAGACCCCAGGGTACCTCGTGCGCAAACTCAGGATGTGGCCGGACCTAGCCTGGCGGTATCGATGAGGCCTGCGTCCAGGTTGGTCAGCCAATCCGTGCCGGTTGCCTTGATCGGATTGTGGCTTGTTCGCCATGCAGCTTTCTTTGACGCATACCGGAAGCCGTCCCGCCCAAGCTCTCTTCAACGGGGTTCGTCTGAAATCAGGGACCTGCATGGGAGTTTCGGCAGCCGGCCATCCCCCGAGGTGATACACCTCAAAAGGACAACGCCAGGGGAAAAGACTGGAAGTTTTTATCTTCCCCGCACCAATGGGGAACCACCCATCGCAACAAAGCCTTTGCCACTGTGAAAGAGCCAGTGAGTCTCCTTGCTGGCTGATGGCTAGGGCTAGAGTGACACCGGCTTCCGGCCGACCCTCGGCCCAGCGGCCGGAAACACATTTTGAGTTCCAACTCAAACACGACAAGATGCGACCACGATGGGCGTGTTTTGCGGCAGAAGCCGCAAAGAACGGTACCGGGAACAATGAAACCCAAGATGCACAAGGCACCTATAAGAAGATGGGATTCATGTACCGGAACAGCTCTCGTCGCCTCATCATACACGCTTGGAGTCGTTGTCTTCGCCGTTGCGTCCACGGATCAGCCCTCTGTCATGGTCCAGCAAAGACCAACGAGCATAGCCCTGCGCCAACGCCATCTTCACCACCAAGCCAACCATGATTGCGCCTCCAAGCAGGCTTGCGAAGGGACTAGCGACAAGCCCATCAAGCCGTGGAGACAGGCTAAGTTCAGGGGAACCCCATCGCGGCGCTTCTTCACACACAATGTCCCGGCTTCGGCTCCTTCTCCCACAGAAGAGTGAGCCTAAACACAGCCAGCTTGACGATCGCAAGCATGTCGGCCGATCTCGGGGTTGGTTCCGCGTGAGGGGGAAGAACAGCACGTCGAACTCTCCCGGAAACACTTCTCCAATCTTCGGGCGACAAGGTTCACTCAACCCGTCGGCTGCGAAGAGGATTTGTTTAAGCCGGATGCCAACCATTGTTGAGCATGATGAGATCCAAGAAATGACCATTTGGCCCTCCCATCTCGGTCCGCTGGACCGTTACGACGGTGTTGCCGGCGACACCGAAGATTTGGGTGAGGACGCCCGCACAAGGAAATCCAGTACTTCGAGCCAGAGCAGCAGTTTCAGTGACAGCGCCGACAGCACCGACAGCACATTGACATGTGCCACGTCCCTCAGCGATTATGATTCTGCCGAGTGTCTGCCCAGGATTGACAACTCAACCGTTGACGACGATGAAATCACCATCAAAGGTTTCAACCTTGCTCGTGATGAAGCATTCTTTGACAACAATGCCGACTCTGATAGCAATGCCTCGATTATTACCACCATTTTTTCCACCACTCCCTGCGGCTCGCAAACGCCTTCAGTTTTTGTTGGCAACAGCCCCAGCGAGGTCGACTCCGACTCCGACTCTGGTGATGATGTCGGCCCACATCCCGGGGAAAGATGGTTCCCTCCTTCGCCGGGAACAGAAATTTCGAATCTTCCTGGAAGTTTTACTCAGCGTCAACATCGCCTCCGCGACGCTGAAAGCCTCATTGACGAGTCTGCGCTGAAACAACTCGATGGTATGATGCAAGCTGAGCGTTTCATCAGGAAGTTCCTCGAACACGCCTTCAACGAGCAACACTCTGAGATAAGGATCACCTGCGGCTTGACTATAGAGCAAGTCTACCAGCTTGGGTACCTGGAAAGAGACGAGGGGATACGGGAATGCCTCCGGCTGTTTCGAGCTCCATTCATATTTGAGGAAGTCGCTACCGCTCTCTGGGGACGCCTCGAATATCTCTCCCAGTTCGACAACCTCCCCCTAGAGTTGATGATCAGTCGGGAGACAATCACCGGGATCGAAAGAGACAGGAGATCACAGCGCAACACACCGTCGCCAGACCGAAAGAAGAGCAAGACAAAACGGGCGGCTATTCGTCGAGGCCTTCGAGCAGCCCTCAAGAGATCATCACGGTCGCCAACGAGGCGCCGTGTTTGTGTATACTGCGGCACAGGGGACCACGCCATCTGCAGCATCCCCGGCCTTCACCCCGATGATTATACCCGCTGCCGTACCTCAAGACAAAGACTTGGTTCCATCTTTAAGCCTACGCCGTCTCCTATCGCCTCGGCGCCCGGATCGCCTAAGTTGCCAGCGAGCGAGCCGTCACCAAAGGGTGCATCGCCAAGTTTCTTTGAGACGCTACGAGGACGGAGGATGAGCCGACAAGACGACCAAAAGTTTTGGAGGAGAGAGGCAGCTCTGTCAAAGCAGTTGGGAAAGGCAAAGGAAACGACGAGAAGATCTAATGAAATGAAGAGGTCAAGGGAACTGAGAAGGGAGAGCTGGGCCGGGAAGAGCACGGTCAAGAGCAGTCTTTTTTCCGAGTTTCTCGGGACTTCAGACTGGGATCGTCATCGAGGGTCCTTCTGAAGAGAGAGAGAGAGAGAGAGAGAGCCAACGGTTCAAGGTGGAAAAGCAAGTTTTGGTTCACGTTTTGGCGTACTGGCTTGGGGTAAAACTGACAACCTGATACCCCTTTTTACGCGTTGCATAGCATGGTAGGTATGGACGGGCGGGCGGGACACAACTAGACGTAGGATAGATGGCTGGAAAGGCGGGGCTGGACTGGAAGGCTTTTCTTTGTTCAATGTTTTGATAATACACTAATATTCTTACTTTCTTCCCGTTCTTCCTTTACATCCTTTCTTTCGAGGCGAGGCTCTTGGGACTGTTGAAGTGGAGTCTGTCATGCAGCTCGAGCAACCCGCATCCACACCCACATCAACATCCACCTTCACCACTCCGAAAAAAGTGACCAAAGATCAGCATCCATATCCACAAAACTCCATCATCACCCTCATCGTCCCCCATTCCATTCACAGCATCCACCACGGAACGGGGTATCGTCGACAAGCAACAAGCGGCTTGGTGGCGTAATTGGTAGCGCGACAGACTCCAGATCTGTAGGTTATCCGTTCAAGTCGGGTCCAGGTCATTGTAGTTGCTTGTTCTTTTTGCTGTGTTTTTTGTTTGTTTGTGGTGAACGTTGTACTGTGTTTATTTCGGGTGTAAGGGGCATGTCATCTCATCCCAGGTCGAATTGGTTGTTGTGGCACTCGGCACACTCCTTCGACCTGCTGCATGATGCTTAATTGGGGTTATAATATCAATATCTCACTCTCAATGACATATTTAGACTTCTCCCTGGTTTGGTGGTTGTTCAAGGGGTGGTGGTGAGCCTGCTCTACCAGCCCTAACCCTAGCATATTATCATGCAGCAATTCTCGCGTCTCATCGAACGCGACTTCCAAGTTAGTTTTGGCGTGAAGGTGAAATTTGCCCCCTTAACTTTCCTAATTGTTCCCGGATTTTTTTTTGTATGGGGAAGAGAAAAAAAAAGGTTTCAAATATTAATGAAGTTGTTGGTTCGCGTTGGAACTAGGTGATGACAAGGTAAGCAAGGATAACAGACTGGACTGAGTGACGTCTGCTCACAACACAGATTTTTGCCGTGAGCCCCCTTTTAGGATGCAAAGATGGCCGCCGCTCAAAAGATTCTGGCGAGTCATCGTCCCTTGTCCACAACGGCGACGCTACAGCAGTTTTCGGGACATCCACCATGTCCAAGTCCCGTGTGCATCTTCAGGTGAAATCACACTGAGGTTCGTCTTCACCCCCAGATGAATGCAAAATACTAATTCCACTTCAGTCTACACAACATCTCAAGCAGCACCGAAACAACCCCCCTAACCATCTGGATCCCACCCTTCTCCTTCCTAGACGGCTACGATCCCAAAGGCCTAGCCCTCCCCCGTTGGCTCCAGCGATTCCCAACCGCCACCATCAACTACCGCTGGCCAGGCTTCTACCTCCAACCTTCAAAGTCACCGACCGAGGTTCCTGGGGCACACAACTGGCCAAACCCCATCCACGACATCTCCTTCGGCTACCAATGGATTCTCCAAAACCTGGCCCCTCCCACCCCGGGCCGTCGCGACATCTACATCTACGGCTCCTACCTTGGTGCCAGCCTCGCCGTCTCCCTGGGGCTAACCGAATCCCACGCCCACGAGCCGGCTGCCATCCGCGGGTTGATAGCATACAACGGCATCTACGACTGGACCACCTTTCTGCCGTCCCATCCCATCAACAATCCAAGATCCGGATCCAAAACCAACAAGCTCTTCCAAACACCTCCACGGGATGACCAGGACCCCTCATCCCCTTTCTCCCTCCTAAAATCCCACATCTCAAACCTCTTCCCCACTCCATCCTCCCTCTTCGATCCTTTTGCCTCGCCTTCCCTCTTCTTCCACACCGCGCCCTTGCATTGCCCACCTGATTTCGACACACCATACCAATCAACCATAACAAATGCCATTGATTCTCTCTCCTCAATCGACTCCCCAGATTCCGCCGTCACGGAACCGCAAGAGGCAAAACACCCAAGAAAAAGCTACCTAACCTTTCCCCCACGTAAATCAACGCTCCAAATCCCAGAGACGTTATTGCTCTTTGATCCTGCACCTAGTGGCATATCAAAGGGGAAAAGAAGGGCGAATAGCTTCCAGACACAGGCGGAGGAGTTGGCTGGGGTTATGAGAAGGAGTGTGGAGATGGTGGAGCTCAAGGAGAGGATGAAGTGGGATTGTGAGTTTGAGGATCCGGCGGCACGTAGGGAGGAGGCGGAACGACGGGTGGTTGTGGGCAGGGTGGGCGGGGATGGGGAGGGTGATGGGGAGTTGGGGGTGTTGGATTTGAATAAGGATGGGGAGGGGATTTTAGGGGAGTGGTTGGAGGATAGGGGAGTGCTTTGAGCGGTCTTGTGTTTCAGAATTTTGCGCGTTGAGGATGGCGTATGTACATGTGGAGTATACGTCCGCAAGAGGTGTAAATCAAGGAGTTGATGGGTCGATGATTATTCACACCGAATTGAATGGTTGTCAAAATAACGGTGATTATGTACCTCTCAATGCATACGTGAGACATGGAAAGATCTCTATGACCAAGCAACAAGTACCTTTTTGGATGCAATCACAGCTGATCCAGCCCCAACCCATCAACCTTGCCCAAAAAGTCACCCGTCACACCCCCGTTCCTCATCAACTCATCTACATCAATACCCCCCGAAAACAGATATTTCGCGCTCACGCCCGTATTCACCGGCTGCGCCAGCATCTGCTTCAACGCGGCCTTCATCCCGCCCAATTCAGCCTTGGAAATCGACCGCGCCTCCTTCTCCTTTTGCTTCCGCCCGCTACCTCGTCCACTCCACGCCCCCGCCGCCTCGAGTTCATCCGAGTCATACTCTACACCCAACTCCTCAGCCGCCTTCTTCATCCAGTCGTCGTCCTTGTGTCCCTTTTCTTTGGCGAGCGTAGCGTCGGTGATCTTTTTGGCCAACACCACTCGCTCCCGCAGACGGGAGACGATACGCCGATCGATATCAATCGTGTGGACTACATCGCTCCTCTTGCTCTTGGATGGGTTTTTGGCTTCAGCCGCGGCGTGGACCTTGGCTACGAGACGTTGCGTCGGGACGGCCTCTTTGGGTCCGCAGAGGAGGACGCTGGCGCCGGAGTTGGAGGCACGTGCGGTACGTCCTGAGCGATGGACGTAGTCATCGGCGGAGCGCGGGACGTGGTAGTGGATGACTAGATCGATGCCTGGGATATCGAGACCGCGGGCTGCAACGTCGGTGGCGACTAGGATGCCGGCTGCTTTCTTTTTTCCCTTTGTTTGGTCCTGTTCACTCCCGCAGGCTTTGAACCGCTCGATGGAGCGGAGGCGGGCCTTTTGGATCATGTCGGAGTGGAGGGCGAAGGCGGGGAGACCAAGGTTTTGAAGGAGAGGGGTGATGCGGCGGACGGTGTTGATCGAGTTTGTGAAGACGAGGGCGCGACGAGTGGGTTGGAGAAGGAGGGTCGAGTAGAGGTAGAGGTCTTTCTCCATGTCGCCGCAGAGGATGATGCCTTCTTTGAGATTCTCGGCCATTTGGGAGATGGGATTGACGTCGATAAACTTGGGCTTCTCCTCGCGGAAGTTGAGCTTCTTGAGGAGGTATTCCAGAGACTCGGCGTCGCCCATTAGGTTGTAACGGCTCTTGCCGGCGAGTTTCTGCTGTAGGCCTTTGTGGAATGTGGCTGAGAAGACGAGGGTTTGGCGGCTGCGGGATGCATCTTCGCTTTCTTCTTCGCTTTCCTCCTCGTCATCTTCGTTGGTAGGACCGCCTCGGTCGAGAGCGCTGAGGATGTCGCCGGCTTCTTTGAAGTGTCCATCCTTCAGAAGTCTGTCTGCCTCATCGACAACGAGGAACTTGATACACCTGAGGGCCTCGAGAGTCTTGGTGCTTGAGCTGATCATCTCCCACATGCGTCCTGGCGTGCCGACAATGATGTCGGCCTTTTCCATCTGGCGTTGTTGCTTGACCACGGCGAGACCACCGGTGACCGAGCAGACATATGGCGAGTGCTTCAACCCAGCGCATAGTTGCTTCAAGTGGTCGCATATCTGGTGGGCCAATTCACGCGTTGGCGAGAGAATGAGCGCGATGGGTGTCTTCTTTTCGTCAGATGCAGCCTTTGACCGACGACTCAACCAGCTTTCCACAATGGGTATACCAAAAGCCAAAGTCTTTCCTGAGCCTGTTGCCGCCTTTCCAATAACATCATGCCCCTCCAGAACCTGAGGAATAGCTCTTGACTGAATCGTTGTCGGCACAGAGAAACGAAGCTGAGCAAGTGCTGAGAGTATTTGCGGCGACAGGTTGAGGGCCTCCCATTGGGACATGTCGATGTCAACGTCCGCCTCGATGTCCGGCGCTTCACTGACTTTGGAAAAAATGTTGGTCTCCAGCTCTGAATCTTCGTCCTCTCCATCCTCTTCAACAGACGCTGGCTCAGGTTTCTTGGGCTCCTTTCCCTTCTTGGGTTCCTTCACCTCCTTCTTCTTGGCCTCCTTCGTCTTCTTAGGCTCCGTTGACTCCTTGGTCTTTGTGAGCTCCTCAGGACCCTCAGCAACCTCAGGCTCATCTTCAAACCCAGAAAACTCATCATCCTCACCGCCCTCAGCACCTCCCGTAGCCTCGCTCTCACTTTCCTTGGATTCCGCCGCCACCTTCAAATCACATCAGTAAAACACATGAAAATCTCATCAACGACAAAAACTCACAAACTGAACTGTGCCCCCATTCTTGACGATCTCGACACCCTCCACAACTTCCAGACCATAAAACCCCTCGGCGTCATCAAACATCTCGGGCACATCGACCGTTTTCCATCTGAGCGCATCGATGCTCACCGGCTTCTTAGCAAGAGCACCAGCTGCCTTTTTTGCGCTTTGTTTGCCGGGCTGCGTCTTTTGCCGCTTGGATTGGCCGGTGGAGACGGGCGCTGCCCCCGCCGCTTTTCTCTTCTTATCGGCGGCCATTTCCTTATTGAGCTGAGGAGTGTTGATGGGTGTTGATGGGTTGGCGTTTCTCTGTGAAAATCGACGGCGCCTTGCATGTCCTCATTGGTTCTCGAAACTTTTTTGCCAGGAATTTGGACCCACGCCGTGACCCCACTATGATTTGAGGACGAGGGTTAGGGTATGGTTTGAAGAGGAGGGTTAGGGCTAGTTTGTGGCCTCGCGCGCGTGAGAAATTGCAGTGAGCGCGAGGCTCTGCCAAGCCATCGATCAGCCTTGGAAAATCCTCCCCACAGCTCTAAAGGCTTCGCTTGGGGTGGAATTCGCAGTGATGGGGAACGAGCCGCAACCCTTACCTTAACGTAGCTTGACACCAGTTTGGGTCTCAGGTGCCATCCACACCTTTTGCGGTTCTTAGCTGGAGAGCTGCTGCTTACATGCACAGCAGAGCTCCAAACACAAGGCCTCCTCTGGGATAGACATTGCAGTGCCCGTAGTTGAAATATACGCAATCAATGTCGGGGTATCCTTCCATCACACGTTCCTACACCTCAGCGCAGCCGGCTTTCTGCATGCTTCCAAGCCAAG